ATAAATGATCTCCCATAGTATTTGTGGTAGCAAGATGACATGCTTGCTTGTTCATCTGTTTGGGCATTCTTTTCTCTCCTTTTTCTCTTTGTTATTGAGTGCTAACTATGTGCTAAGTGTTGTACTATGTGACTTTAAGTATGCTTTAGCACCATTTCGTGATCAAAATAATCCTTTGAGAACTTTTAATTTTCTGGCAATATAGTGGACAAGGTACATTAGCCACTCCTTTCAGTGAAAGCAATAAATATTTCTGGATAAAATACTGAAAAAAAAAATCATTACAACTGCATCAGTTAGTGGGATAGATAGGTAATATTTAGATAAATGACTGAGATAAGACAGAGACTCAAAGAGGCTTAAGGAGAGCTCTGAATCAGCTTTGTATGGAGGGAATTTGCCAAATCTGGTGAACTCAAGATTGTCTCCTCACAGCTTCTGAGTGCTTAGAGTACAGGAGACAAAGTCCAGGGGCTGCACGAGGGTGGAATCTAATAGGAGACCCTAAATAAATATGAGATCTAAACTGGCTAAACCCTCAGTGTATAGTTACACTATAAAACTGCATGGCCTACCATGCAAACTGGGGACGGTTAGGAAAGTGTCTGTCTCTGAACTTGGCACTCAGGGCGGGGAGGGTGGAGCAGTGCAAAATCTCCCCTGGGAATTTGTAATTACATGACATTCTTAATTTGGGTCTGTAGCCTCAAATCCTACAAACTGAGTAGATTAGAAAGCCGTCTTAGACCTACTCAGTGCCCTCCAGTTCTCCTTCATCTTTGGGAAGATTCTTCCTTCCTACTTCTTTGTCTCTTCCAAATGCTGTGTGACAAGTAAGGAGAAACTCGCTGAGACAGTGCTACAAATGAAAATTTCAAAATATACTTGGCATCTATGTGTTTACGTTTTTATGTTCTTGTTTTTGTTTATCCTTTGTCTTTTATTATTCCATGCTTATTAAGCACCAAACACTATGCTAGAGCCTTTAAGTACTCCAGCATTTACTTCTCAAAACAATCCAATGAGAACTTAAATATCTGGCTATATAATAGACTAGATGCCCTGACTGAAAATACCCTGAAAAGCTAAAAATTATGGACTAAAAAAATCATCTTTAAAAAAATCAATGAGTTGGCAGGAAAGTAAGAAATGCTAAAATTAAAGACTGAGTTAGAGTAGGAATCCCAGGGGGTAAGGAGAGTACTGAAGCCAACTTTTGCCAAACCCAGTGAGCTTAAGATTTAGGTATCACGGCCTCAGTATGACCAGCCCAAAGTTAGTAATCCCGTAGTAGACTCTCACATAACTCTGGAACCTTCGGTGAGAGTGCAAACTAAAAATAAACCCGTCCCTCCTCTAAGGAAATACAAGCAAAATTGGCTCTAAACTTGGTGTAAGGGAAGGGGTGGGACAAATGTCCCTTGAGAAATAAATTGTAGCCACAACAATACCTTACATGGTTTGCAGCCCCAAATCATACAATCTAGGTAATTCAAAAGACTTCAATTCTATAATTTAATTTAAAATAATCTTCTAATTGTAATGCCTCCATGTGCTTGACAAAAACATGCAAATTCTCTGTGGAGGATCACACTTTCATTTTAGGCTTAAAAGATCTTCTACAGATAACATCCCAAGAAAAATAAATTCGTAGTCCTAAATCTCAAATCACAAATGAAAACAGACACCGTGAGTGAAAGCAAGCAAGGAAAAAAAGGAAACAAAAACAGACAGCAGGATCATATCCACAAAGACTGTAGGCATTAGCATTATTAAATACAGAAGATGAAGTAAGTAGCTTTAAATGTGTGATGTAGCTTTATGGTTGTTCACTAATATCCATTCTCCCCCTTCAGCAATAGAACTCTCAAGATTTGGCTGAGCACATGTCCACCAGGTAGAGGTTGTATTTCCCAGTCTCCCTGCAACTTAATGTAGCTGTGTGACTGTCTTTCGGCTGATGGTGTGTAAGCAGACAACAATCTTCCATGAAGATAGAATTAAAATACTTGGTGACATTAAGATATGAGTTGAGAGATGGGTAATAAGAATTAAAGTGTTCTGAGGTTCTTGCATTATTTTGAAGGAGAGTAAATATATTAATTACATTTAAACTTTGACCAGTATGAATGTTGCAATTTTTAGGGTAACCTCTAAAAGGTGGAATCTGGACTTAGATCCAGGATCTTTTCCCTAGATGGGATGGTGGAAAAAAACAAAACAAAACAAAAAAACCCACACATCTCTTTCTTAGAGCGCTGTTGGGTTTGCAGCTACAGAATAGGATTGCTGGGAGTCCAGGCCTGTCACTGATGGTACCCTCACACCACAGCCTCAGGAATGGCCCATCCCAGCCACTAGGTAGATCCACTTCTGAGCCTTTCCCAGCACCACCCCACCCCTTCCTGCCTCCCAGACTCACTCATTCCGAACTCCTTCATGTCTTCAGCCACCTCCTGCTTGCCAGCTTCCTTCTAACAGGTCTTGCATGTCGGGAAGGCTCTTTCCCCTACACATAAACTGCCTGAGATGTTGCCTCTTCCGTATAGCTTCTCCTCATTGATAGGGGAATGGAGACGGCCCACTGTGGTCGTACACACTGGTCAGTGGAACTCCCCTCATGCTGGTCACAAGATGCCCTCACTATGAACTCCCCAAACCCTCTGCTCACTTGGGTCTGTTCAGTCACACTCATTTGGCTGACTGTGCATCCTTTCTGCTGGCCCCATCCAAATGTCCAGACCAAACTCAAAGCTCCTAGAGGACTCGGGTATATATCTCCCTCCTCCCATCAGACTTGAAGTCTCCTAATGTGGTGCCTGTACCTCGCCCTGTGGCATACACTACTGAGAGATGTTTCATTAAGACTGCTGAGAAGGCACATCTGAAGGATCCCAGGTGGAAAAGCTTCTATGGAGCCCTGTGAAAACAAAAACAAAAAAGAGGGGAACTGCTATAGCTGAGAGCCAGAAGAGGGCCCCGCACCCCTGCACCTTCTCTGGGTCTGACAGGCTGCTCGTTCCTGCATGTTCAGCACTCTCCCATGAACTCAGCCCCCATGCCCCAGAGACCCCAAAGATGGCTTCACTACCTGTAGATCTCTCTTCCCCTGTTTGTTCAACATGCATTGTTGAGCACCTACTGCATACCCAGCAACGTTCCATCCGTCTTCTGCTGGTAGCCCAGAGCCCAGATCCCTAGTTACTGTTCTCTTTTTTTTTTTCTTTTTTGTCGTGACCGGTAATGGGATCGCAACCCTCGGTGTCGCGCCCGCACTGCGCTCAGCCAGTGAGCAGACCAGTCTCT